TCTGCACCTCGTCTACTGCCAATTCCAATGCGGGTGTAGTTTCCGTTTAAAATATTTTGTTTATGACCCGGACTGTTCATCCATGCTGTCATAACGTCATCAGTTGTTGTGTGTCCAGCGGCGACATTTTCAGCCACCCCTGACCATCTAAATCCTGTTTGAGTAACACGTTCGCTCACAGTTCCTCGTCCATTGACATTCTCTTGATGTGACATTTGTCGAGTTTGTGCCATATAATTGGCATGAGATTGAGCGGCATGTCTTAATCTCTGACTAGCAGCAAGTGGTGCTAGATTAGCTGATCGACGGTATCGATTGTGAGATCTAATCACCGCTAAAACATCCAACTTATAATGTGTTGAGTAAGAAGAGATTTTTCTGTAAATACTGACCTGCTCCTGACATTGTTATTGATTGAAAGTTAAAAAAATTTATTTGCAAAAGTTGACGTTGATTTCTTCTACTAACACACTAACAGTCTTCTAGTTATCTATATATATATATATATATATATATGAAAAGATAACGAATGGTAGAAAAACAAAAGATAATATTATTATTTTAAATGTAATACTTCTTTATTTACTTCCTTCGAGCAAGTCTTTCGAATAAACCCATTCGTTATAAGGATCTGATTGAGCAACACATGGATTATATTGACCTACTCTCGTCTATTTCAATTTCACTGATTGGTGATGTTAGTTTATGAGAGAGAGACGAGGAAAACTTATTTACTTTTCTAGCCAAAACGGAAGACGAATTCAAACGAGAACGAAGAACAAATCTGTATCAACTCCATTATTAGTACGTATGCCAGTTGCTGGACCTAACAAGTGATGTGTATGTTTCAGTACGAAAGTTCATCCAGTATTCAGTAAGAAAAAAAATGCAGTATTTTCGATATTTCTTTTGTGTGAAACAGCATAGAACCATCTTGAGGGCGTGGGTATGAGTTACATAGCAATTTGTCACCCACACCCTCAAGGCGAGATTCGATTCATTCGCTAGTGGGAAGAAAAAAAAGAGCAATAATAAATCGATAGAACAAATAGAAAAAGTCAGCAAGCACATGTATTAAAGTAAAGTTCTCGTCAATACAAATATTTCAATCGTTTATTGTATGAAAACTGAATCGCCTCGAATATGTTAATTACCAAAATTCAAGACAGAAAAATTATTTTAATAGATTTTAAGGTTGATGTGCGTACACGTTGTTCCATGTGAGCTAGCATGGTCGTTGTGAACAATATAACCATGTCCTGTTGGTACTCGAGAGCGATAGTAAGCAATTAGCTCACCATTTTGTCCACCACTGTATGGTTCCGTAGCATCGAGAACATAAGTCCCACCCGAATCTCTTCGTTTATATCGATTCGGGGCACCTCTGTATAGATTATCTCTTGTACCGGTATGTAAAGAACCATCATTAGTAGAAAAAACCATGGAGCCATTATATCCTCGTATAAAGCTTAAATCTGCAAATGTCATGTTATGCCATGCATTGAAACGAACTTCAGCCCACGTTGCAGGATCATTTGATGCACCAGTTATTCGTTGCACGCGACCTTCCCATCCATTATCAAGTCTTATTGATAGACTTTGATTTCGTCTCAATAGAATAATTTTTTCCGCATCAAATGATGGACGAAAAGCAGCATGATTTCGGAAGAAACCCAATTTTACTGTTTTACCACTTCGATTTATAACATTGATTGTATTCACCATAGTAATCTATAGATACACTACTGTTTTATCGATCATTAATATGAATAGAGTTGAAATTACTTATTCCTGTATATCGATATTTTATATTTCAAAAATAAACTTTTCTTTGTTGAGTCTCGTTCTATTGAAAAACAAACTTTACTTTTGATCTGAAACTAATAAAATTAATATTGTCAGAATGAAACACCATTTAAATTATATTTAAAAGTAGAAAACTTTTATCATGTTTATATAGAGCAACGAAAAAGAAAAGAAATCATGGTTGGTATATAGTTCATCGTTCGAAAGTAACAATAAACTTTCCTGCACGACTGGCATGTGTTTTCAAATTATCTGCGGGAAACAGATACGCGTCACGTGCACGTCTATGCAGGGCTTTTAGACGTGTCCTATACGAAGAAAATAATTGTTTAGTTCTATTAATTCAATCAACTTACCCATCCGGTGCTCGCACTTTCATTGGCACGTTGAACCCATCAATGACGCTGAGGTCATAGTAAATATTTCTGTCGTTTGCCCTAACAGAAACTTCAAAAAGGGTAATACCACCGGTACCACCAACATGACGAAAATTGCCAGACCATCCGTCTGACAAACTACAAGAAAACGATCCGCTAAAATAAGAAAATATTGTTATTTATGTTTTTATCCTAATTGTTTCACATACCCAGGATGAATATTCGCGATTTGTCGCGATGGTCTGTTATTTCTTGTTTTTACAAGATTTATTGTATGAGACAATCGATTGATGAATATAATCTCGATCGGCATTATGAAAACAGTTTAGTGATAGGAAGAAACGTAAATGTATGATCTTTTTATATTTTCTTATATAATAAAAAAATTTTTCCCAAATGAATCACACGAATTGGTATAGTTGGACGTTTTTTGATGAAAAATACGAGATTAGTAATTCTCTCGTCATGTTCGCTATCGAAATAAAGCGAAGACATACGCAGGTAAAATTATATATTTGATTACTTATTCATTCTTTCAGTCATACTTGTATCAGTTACCCATAATGTGAAAGCGATAAGGAAAAAAGGAAAAAAGGAAAATAGCTGCGTGGAATCATCTCCATTGCTTGTTAAGAGTGTTTCTGTTATACCCTGATACTTGAGCGTGTGGGTGTGTGATAAAAAATACTCACATCCACCCACACCCACACTCACACCCTTAGAAAGATAAGGATCTTGTTGGAAAAAGTAACGATATGACTTATCTGTTTTAATTTTTTCCCATCCTGGAAGAATATGTGTATGTCTGCGTACTTGGAAATTTCTTACAACTAAAAATGTTCATGCAAAGGTCTTCGCATCAGGACTCTGTGGGTTCGTTCGGTTTTAAAGTTCAATCCGGCTGTTTTAACAGTTCACATTTACACACACACAAAAACTAAAATCACGTTGAAAATAGTCGACTACTTGGTAACTTTTATTTCGCTAAATTCAGACTCTGACAAAAAAACAGTTTTCACATAAATAGGTTTCGTTGTGCCAAGTAAGTTAATCAATGGTTATACTCTCTGGCAATCCAGAATATTTTTGGAAGTGTTACATCTCATAGATCTGTGCCTCTCGATCGATGTAAACATTAAGTGATTATTGCTCAGTGTGAGACCGGAATGATGAGAACTAGTGTTTAATTCGTCAGTTGCGAATTCATCTACACCAAGAACGTTTTTTATCTTTCATTTTCACCATTATTGTTTCATGATTCTCAAAGGTGAGTGAAGATAAGAATGAAAAAAAAACAAACAGCCACACTCTCATTCTCCCCGCGCCCATCCTTAAAAAACAGAATAATCATCAGTCTGAGTAGCATGGTAATATTTTTTCATCTGGTATTGTTTATCTTTGTCAGAAAAATAGTTGCAAGAAGGATTCCGCTGTGATATTAAGTAGTGGTTCGTGTCGTGAACACAGAGCTAACTGTATTTTATTCATGCAGTTTATACAAAATAGAAATGCTGCACACGTTCTTGAATAATGCTTTTAAAAAAAACATTCAAGAAGCGGCGGCAAACGCATGTGCTGATCCGCCAGTGCTAATTGCAATCACTTGGTTGCAATGTGTTACAGTGCCATTCGTACTGACGGTGCCGATCTTCGTCGTGCCAACAATCTTCAATCGTTGCGGATCCCTGACACATATCTCAGGGAATTTTTTTGTTGTAACTCCCGCCCAAGGTGGATGCATTGTGCGGCAAGAGTCGTGGCTGGGCGAATGTCGAGACCATTTGCCAGTGCGATCTTCGTCCTGGCCGTTGAGCTTCTTAAGATTCCCGAGGTCTACTTCGACCTCAATGACACAAAAATTTGTGCCACCTCCTCGATGAGCAGCGATCCGATGAGCCCATTTTCGGGTGGTTAGGTAGACCCCCCTGCCAAGTCTTCCCTCGTTCGAAGGTAGAAACCCATTGTGCAGAATGGAATCAACGTTGTCATATTTCGTCCCATGAAAGAGACGACAGGTGGACTGACCCTTCCGGCCATGATGCGTATAGTTCTGGTGGTGTTTGTTACCCACCTTGTAACACTGTTGGCTGCCATATCGACATTTGGTCATATCTGAAGTTTATAAAAATAGAAAATAAGAAAGTTCTCTGTTTTATACGATCTTATATATAGTATCCATTAAAAAAATACCAAGAAGTTGTTGGGAAAAAACTCAGTATATCAGTAAGACAATGAATCATAAGTTTATTAAACAAATATTTAAGGTAACGAGATTACTTCGTTGGCATATACTTAAAAAAAAGAGAAGAAAAAGAAATTTCGCTATTTCGTTTTTCTTCTTTCTATTTGACTGATAAAAATATTGCACCATCGTATAGAATTACATAGCTTCTGAAAACAATAAAAACAATGTATCAACGGAGAGGATACAGATTCTCTCCAGTGCCAATAAGACGACACCACCATCAGTGGCAACACGACTCTAACCTTAAAGAAATCACAGCACGCAATGCTTACAATACTAATGGAATACGAGAACTGCCGGACATCCAACCATTTCTATCCGATCCAAGGCATCCCTTATTCGCTTCTACAGAGTGGCAATCCCGTCTATGGTTAAGAGAATTGAGAAACTCGCAAGGAAACCATGTACGACAGAGATGGTTGCGTGTGATTGCACAACTAAACACAATCGGCGTTGTGCGAAATAAATATTACGTTACGGAGACGGGAAAACAAGTACTCTTAGGAGATATATGCCCACGAACAATCATCTATGACAATTACACAGTGCTGCCAAGTCATTTTTCAAGATCCATGGTCCAACCGATCTATCCACAAACAGCTGTAAGAGTGATAAATGCAGACTGTCTACATGTCTATGCGGACCTAGCAGCGCAACGATATAGACCGGTGCTACTTAATATGGCCAATGCTCAAACTCCCGGTGGTGGATATCGCCGTGGAGCTGAAGCCCAAGAAGAAAACATCTTTCGACGTTCAAATTACTTCCTTGGTCTAGACAGTGCACTCGACAGTGAACGACGTTGTGAATACTTTCGCTACAGTGACCAGGGTGAACAGCAACGAGTCAGTCCCCATTCCCTCTATCCCATGTCTACATTCGGTGCACTGTACACACAAGACATAACTGTCTTTCGAGATAGTGAAGACGACGGATATGCCTTCTTAAACGAGCCTGTTCACAACGTTTGTACCATAGCAATGGCAGCGTATCAAAACCCGCCCTTAAAACAAGGCAATCATCTTCCTTCCGAATATGCTGCGAATACAAGAAAGAAGATAGAAAACATCTTTGCCATTGCGCAACATCGAGACCATGACTGTCTCGTGTTATCGGCATTGGGCTGTGGGGCTTTTAAAAATCCCCCGGAAGACATCGCTAGACTCTTTAAAACAGTCATTCTTCAGTACGCCGGAGTCTTCCATTCGATTATTTTTGCTATCATTGGAGAACAAAACAGTTCGAACGACAATTTCGCTTCTTTTCACAACTTACTTCACAACTACAATATATCACCACCCGCTGTTCCCCAAGTTGGTATGGCACTCGGTAGTCACCGTATTCGAGAGATCCGTTCGAACGGACAAATGATACTTGACAACTTCGTGATTGCTCGAGATCCTTGCAAGTACGGCGGAATGTGCAACAAAACTAGTTATCAAGATCACAGTGCACGCTTTTCGCATCCAAGTGTATGTCCACAACAAACTCCTCATTGTATTACGGACATGATACATTATCGGGCATTTGTCCATAGATAACTCTCTGTAAGAGAATCCCTTTTTCATTCAACTAAGAATCTTTTTTTAATGATCGAATAAACAGTCAAGAAAAACTGAGTACTTCACGTTCACATATCTTCCTTAACCCATCTCCAATTCAGCGAAAAGATACTCCTTGCAATCTGATTTCTGAAGTCGCAGACATGTGGATGTGGGTGTGGAAGTCTGCTGAGAATAGAGATATCTATATCCATACCTATCCTCAAGATTCTCACTCTTACTCATATCTATTCCTTTTT